TATTCCGCCGGAAAGGAGGTGCAAGTGTTACCTATCGCGCCTCTGTAGCTTTGTGTCCTTTTTCCACCTCCTTGTCTCATCTTGGTAACGTCTCACCATCGTCATGCAACGATTCGCAAAAAGGTCGCCGTGACATACACTGTTGATTTCCATATACATTTCCAGCGTATTATCTCGAGAAAAACCGAACCAATAAATTGCGAGGAAACTTACGGCTGTACATATAGAGCCTGCTGGCATCCCATCTGCTTTATTCATAGTTACTGACAAGCTGCATATCCTTTTCTGCAGACGATATTTATTCTTTTGTTCTTTTTTTCGAAAATGGAGTGTTTCCGTTTTTAGTTACCTTACTGCAACTTGCTTTTGGAACTCTCTCGATAGTCTGCTATTCTGTTCATGATCGGTTAGAATCGATGTTCTCTTCTCATAACTAACATACGAGCATACAGCATGTATTTTGAACTGTAGGGGCAACCCTCGAAACAGCTACTGCGAGTAAGGGTAGAGTTCTTGTGACTTGCTGCTCAATTTTGAGTCGCCAACTAGAATCTGCTTTGTAGAAAACAAAATGGCTATAATCTCATTTGCTGCAGATGCAGTGGCGTGTCAGGTGGAGTGAGCTTGGCGTGGCTCAAGCCCGTTTTCCACCAGTTGTTCAGCGGGCGAGCGCAACTATTGGTGGAACACGAGTTGGCGCCGCACAAAGCCCAGCCCCCAACACGCCCCAGCATTCGTAGCGAGCCACACCTATAGTTTTGAGTAAGGAAATTTGAAACCCTGTTTTCCTTGTTTTGAAATTAGGTAACGGGGGTTGATGTGAATAATTGTCCTTCTATTCATTCATCCTCATTGCGAGAAAGACGTCTTGTAAAAGCACATCTTCAATATGCCGTTATGATCTATTTTGTAGGATGGCCCCAAGGTCCAAGTACCAGTCATGATAGGGACTGCACCATCAGACATGCTCTGACGCTGCTCTCTGTCCAAACCCGTATTCTGTGAAAGAAGTTGTGAAGAGTTTTTAGCGCATTGTCCATGTCCTTACAAGCAACCAGTCGCGAGATCGACTCGTGAGCCTTCGTTCATACTTTGCGGCAGCTCAGCAGCGTCCCCTAGTGTCCAAGCGTCCTGTAGCGTCAGCGATCAGCAAAGTATATATATCGATCTCGCGTCTGTCAGCGTCTACCAGCGTCCACCAGCTTCCCGAGGGCTAGAAGTATAGGTATCAGTATAGCGTCTGCCACCGTCTACCAGCGACCACCAGCGTTCACCACCGTCTGCCAGCGACCACCATCGTTCACCAGCGACTGGGAGCAGAGAGTATGGAGAAGTTGAAGGGTAGCAGACAGCTGGATTAGACGTGAAATTGCGGCATATGCAGCACCGTACATCTACAACTCTACACCGTACATATTAGATAATTCTCTGCTATAGCAGTGGCGCGTTGCACACGCCGAAATTTCACGGCGCCGCATCCAGCGGTTTAGTACCACCGTGGTTCGCCATGCTCCCTACTCCTGGTGTGTGTGTGTGTGTGTGTGTGTGTGTGTGTGTGTGTGTGTGTGTGTGTGTGTGTGTGTGTGTGTGTGTGTGTGAACGCTGGTAGACGTTGGCAGACGCTAGATCGGTACCTATGCCTCCCTAGTCGCTGGCGCAGCTGGAGGACGCTCGGAACCCTAGTGGACGCTGGTAGATGCTGTTGGATGCTGCCGCAAAGTATGAACGCAGCCTTATCGAGTTCCACTTTTTCTCTGTTGACGCGAGTATGGCCGGGCTAAAGCATTTATCGCGGAATTGGCGGCGCTGAGGCCGTCTGTGGCTTGCTGTAAGGGGTTTTGTATGCAAGTGTCCCTAAAGCACAGAGGTTTGTGGGGAACTTTTGTGCTTCGACATGGATTGAAGAGTCTCCGCGAAGTGGCCGCAAGGGAATTTATGACAGACCAGTTTTCTAGAACAGAAAATTAGGCTGTAAGTTACGCTCGTCCGGGCACGAAAGGAAGGCGCCGACTGGCTGAGAGAGAGTTGTTCCATAGCTCCGGTATAAATGTCATTGCTAATTGACAGTGTCATTTATGACTATGAATGAGTCGAGTTCATGGTTCATTCAGCAAGGCGCTGATGAGCAGTTCGACGACGGGGGCACTTTGCACTTCTGCTGTTAGTACTCTACCGTTCTTTCATTTTTTCCCTTCTACGTAAAACATTTTCTTCAGAATCAGTGATCTGTTTCTCCTTTGCCGGAAGTCCCTTTTAGTCCTTTTATTTTCAATGTTTCCTTTTACTTCGTTGTGATAATGAAATAAAAACTATTTATTCCAGAATCCAAGAAGATGAAGCGCCGGTCGTTACTGCTTGCAGTGTTCGTTGTTGTGGATGTCGCCTGTTCGGTGTTATCGATGGGATTCTACTCTGACTCGTGGACATTCGACTTTGACCTCGTATTCAAATACCTCACCTTCATCGATGGCTACAATTATTTGACGAATCCTATGGATTTTGTTTTTCTATCAATTCTGCGACTCGTTCTTCTACTCACGGCCGTGACTTTGATCACTTTTCATCATGACAACTATGCCAAAGCTATGTTCATGCCAATGGTTGGCTTTGCGACATTCTGCTATTCCTACACTCTAGTGAAATTTCTCGCCTTTTCTGAAGATGTCAGAATGATGCGGTATCCGGGAATATGGTTGTCAGGCACATGGTCAATGACAGCAGCGCTGCTTTTCTCTCTTATTTGGTACTTCATCATCTCCGCTCATGATTTTGACTACCAGCGATTGGTTTCCGAGCGTATAAACGGGATCACATCTCCACAGGACACCACCGACGTTGAAGCTTCAACTGGAAGAGCAGGTGAGCGTTCCCTTTGCGTATGCGCTTTTTTCTCATATGTGGATGGAAGTCGTTCACGGCATGAACCGGGGGCGCTGTGCTGTTGGAGGAAATTTGTGCCAAATACAACCCGTTCTCCCCGAAATCTCTTCGTACATGAAAGAGAAAACCTAAAAATCAGATACCGGGAACATTTTTTCTTTAAGGCAAATAGGACCCCCTCTTTCGGGGTCTCCGAAGCACGACGTGCACCGGGTATGAATGAATCTGAGCACCAGTTACTTCGAGGGCATTACTCCGTACGCATACCCACAGTTTCCCCGTAGTCAGAACCACGATTTCGGAAATTTCTCGATATTTTCTTTCGAAGCTGCAGTGTGCAATTACCTGAAAACTTGTTTTTTTATCCTTCTCACGCGAGAGGGGCAAATCGGCCCATGGTGATGAACGACTTCAGCCTTTCGGAAATATGTGGCAGTAATGCTGAACTAGCTCATGCACGGGAACGGGGCTTGGCGGTAGTAAGACCTATGTGATGTCTCCCGATTCTGCCCATGCAGGATAACCAACAGCACACCTAACCATAATTAAAATGCGCTGCTTGTCCGAATGCTCTCCACTGACTATGTGTTCGCTGAAGGATCCTGGTATCGAAGCAAGTGCTGCACCTTGAGGACAGCGCGGGTGAAGTATGGAGAGGGCACCCATGCTGTCCTCAAGGTATTACTACCCTCCAACGCCGTTTCCGGGCATTTTTGAGCGAAACAAGTGGTACCCTGCTGCGGACCCATTCACCTCGCACGTGGACCTTCTTGGGGGAGAGTGCACACTTCGTCTTCAGTCAGTAGTAGGCATGTGACTTCAGTGTGCCCCAGGTCTTGAAGTGGACTTCAACTGGGTTTGTCCGCATTCTGAGCCACGCAATCGATCCTGTCGACTTGCTTTCAAGAGATCGGGCGTTCTACGGAAGTGACGGGGTTCCACACTTCCTCTTCTAATTTGGGTGAAAGTATTGTGAAAACGATACTTCCATTAGAAGTCCTCCCAGTTGGTCGTTCGCACAGCTTTTTTTCGAGCGGGCAATCTTCAACGAGTGTGGCGAATAACGTTGAATGTAGTATGTTGTAAATGGTTTTCCACTGGTGTTAACTAGATCTTATTGTTAGAATGTTTTTACTTCAGCTGAATCAAGTCCTCTTGTCCCATCTACGAAACGAATAAGTACATTGGAGCATATCCGAGCTCTTCTCAAATACTGTCAAAACCAGTGGGTATGGTTTACGCTGGGATTCATTTTCCTCGTCATATACGCTGTCGGTGAGCGTTTGGTAACCAAAAGAACACTAGACCTATTCCTCAATTTCGCACCCAGAGTGATAACCATTTCAGCTCGTGTGTTCATTCCGAGCTTTACCGGTCAAGTAATAGCAAATATTGTTAAAAAAGCTGGAATTGCCTCGCTGGTTCGCTCTGTGACTATCATGGGTCTGCTTACTATGGTCAGGTGAGTATGAGCTGGCTAGATGCATTGTGGCTCACTGATGCATAACCGTTCACTTAAACACTTATAAACACCCAGTGAAGTCTTTATTGCACTGTTCCATAGTCCATGAACTTTTGGGGCCAACCAGTGCATAAGGCAGAGCTCCTCCCAGCTTAATTTGGTATTAGTTCCGCTGCCCTATGACAGAGGGCCTAGGGGACCGATACGGGATGTGCCCCAGGACTGTCCGTGATATGCACATCATTTGCTACTACACCACATCCACTGATGATTTACTAGTGAAATGGTGGACGTTTTTCAAGTCGCTGTAAAGCTTACGGAATACTTCTACATTTCTCCCTTCAATTTAAACACAGAGTAGGCATCTTTTCGCTCAAATGGGCTCTTTAACGGAGCTGAAAGCGTGCGCGTGAGACATATTGGCATCCTATAAACCGCAATAGTTTGGTGAGCTTTGCGGCCGTATGAATATGATCGACCCATCCTCCCCCCCCCCTTGACACGCCCTAGCGGCCGTTTTCCACCCGTTTTTTGAGGGGCAAGCGACAGCAACTGCAGGAAATTGGGCTAGCGTCAAGCCAAATCCACCTCTGGCACATCTGGGGTCGAAGAGTCCAGTGCCCACTAGTGGCTGACCTCCACTATCCATTGGAGCGCTGTGATTGAAGAGTTCGGATGAATGAGCAGGCTACCTTGGTCTTCTAGTTGGCAAAGCCTTGGCAGGCATTGTGATGCTCCGTCCGTACGGTTTATCATCAACCGCTTCACGTAAGTGATATAGGCGCTATCCTCTCTGTGAGGTCATCGAGTACTTTCATCCTAACGCTTTTTATAAGCTTTTTGAAGTTGTTATCGCTTCATAACCCATGTCATGGGTCTCGCAGTCTTACCTCTTTCTTCATTTGTCTACGCTTAAATTTTACCAGACGGTGGAGTGCGCGCGTAATGTGGTGCTGCAAGACGCTCCTTAGCTGACTTGATCGTCTGCTGTTGCTCTTTGGTGCTCACCTTCTATGTCCCCTAATATTTCTTCCTGCAACCGGCGTCCCACGTTTACAACATAAGGGGTAAAAAACTTGGTTACAAATTGAAGAGCACTGACACGCACACACAGATGCATACACCTGATGAAGTTTTGTTGATTCTCCGAAGCCATGTTGGGATCTCATCGAATATCACACTTCACTTTATTCGTTTAGCACACTTTTCGGTGGATTGCGTGGCGGTTGTTTTGACTACGCAACAGCGCTTGTCAGTCGCCAAGTGCGCCTGGATTTGTTCCGATCATTGGTCAATCAGGATATCGCATTTTTTGATGTTACAAAATCCGGTAAGATTTTATTATTCATGAAAAAAAAGTGTGATGAAGTAAAGAAATGTGGGGAAGCGTAGGAAAAGTTAATGCGCGGATAGACAGAATAGCATTACGGAGAACGACTAATTGTAGGCGTGCTGTTGTATACAGCAGTTGCAATATTCCATAGACTTCTGAGTACTTCCTTGAAATACTCTTCGTTTCTAATTGTTTTCATAATCACAAATAGACTTGTTTGCTGGTTGGAACTATAAATCTAAGCTTGGTAGCACAGCAGAACTGTCTGGTGGGCCACGTTCACAGAATACAAAAACTTTTTTTGCATATAGAATCCTCACCCATCCTGCAGAATGTAATGCCACGCGGTTTCGTTAGGGTGCTTTCATCATCGTTTCGAGCGTCCGTCAGCGACTAGGAAAATATAGATGTCGATTTAGCGAACGGCACCCTCTACAGCTCAGGGCGCATCATTACTTAGGGATTTTGGTAAATTTCATACGACCCCCCCTTTTTTTGAGAGGTTGCTATGACCCCCTCCCCCTTTTCCAATCCTACCTACCACGTTCTCGATTTTCTCAACTTCTTGTCAGTTTTACCGGAATTTCCCGGAGATTTTCTTACTTTCTCCCAAAAATTTTGCTGTCAGCGGGGGGGGGGCATATAGTGCTTTAAAAGGGAAACCCGCGGAAAACCAGGAAAGCATGGATATCGATCCAGCGTCTACGCCATCCCAGTGACCAGCGGTAGATAGGATGAGGAAGTAGCACAGCAGGTTTTGGTAGAGTATGGGGAAGTAGGAGGGAGGAGACACTGGATTAGGCGTCGTTAAATTTGCAACCGCACACTGGTACTACACAATTCCGCACTAATGTTCATTGATGGACACTAGTGAAGGACGCTAGATCGATATTCTCACCCTCCTAGTTCCTCGAAACGCTAGTGGTTGCTGGTTGACGCTGTCGCAAAGTATGAACGCAGTCTTAGATGCAGTTTCTCGCTATTGACAACTCATTTTGCGTTATGCGACGTCATAGCGTAACGTATCCTTAGTCGTATTGGAGTGCGGAACTACAGAAGGGGGGCAAAAAAGTCACTTCGACCGAGTCACATATCAGCAAAGTTTTCGCTGCCCAGACAGAGGACGTGGATACGAGTACCAGGGCGGAAGATACCCAAGATGTTCCTCGATAAGCAGGAGCTGGCTCTCGCCCATCACCTTCATGTACACCAAAATATGAAGTCATCTCCAGTCGCAGCCTGACTGGAGAAGACCTTTGGAATTCATGTCACCTCCAAACAGCTGCGAAACTTCTAGTCACCCATGGATAGCTACCTGGAGACCAGTACTCTCGATCTGGAAGACCTCCAACATCGAGCAGCTCCGACAACGTCGCTACGGTCTAGGACATCATCAGTCGCCAAGGCGCCAGTTGATGGTGGGGACCGGACGTACCTGGAATGGAAAGACCAATATTTTCTTCGTGGACCCCGGACTGAAGGTGAGCGCTGGCGGTTACATTGAGCAACTCGTGAAGAATATCCTCCTCACATGTCGTCGCCCGTACCTTCTTGGAAACTTTGTACTGCTACAGCATTGGGTGCCACCACATGGAATCGAAGGGCGTTGGAGAAACTCTCGCCTACTTGGAATGGAAGGGCGTTGAGTACCTGAAGAAGATGGAATATCTAAGCAGGTCACCTGACCCAAACCCCCTCAATTACCTGGTTCGGGCGGAGTTCAATAGGGTGGTCTACGGTGGCGGAGAAATCGACTATCTCGCTGATCTCAGGCACCACATCGCGGTCGCGTGCCAGAATCTCTCGATGGCGCTCGTCCAGAAGGCTGTGGCGGAGTGTCATGATAGTATTTAATATGGTCCTAAAATTGCGCTTCAATATGGGGGTAATGATCAGAATTCAATAAAGTGTAACTTATAGCGCCTCGAAAGTCAATGAAGAAAGTGACTTTTTTGGGCCCCCCTGTATGTTTTATGCCGAAAGCCCGTTTTTTATAGTTTTGAACCCATATATTTTCAGGCGAGATAGTTTCTCGTTTGACAGCTGATTGCCAAACGATGTCAACGACGGTGTCAACCAATCTCAATGTTTTTCTACGTAACGGTGTCATGCTTATCGGTGCTCTTGTCTTCATGTTCGTTATGTCGTGGCGTTTGTCATTGGTACGTGTTTTTTTTTCTGAAGCTCAGCTTGATTTTCGAATCACTTCGGGGATGTTCCTTCACTCCAAAGAAACCATTTGATGATAAATCAGAGTACTTGGGAGGGGAAGTGTGAAGTGTATGCACTCATTTCCGATCCTGTTTAAGAGATTACGTCTCATTCAGCCTCAAAGACCAGCTTGCAGTTCTATGCGCTGCCCATGTTGGGGAATGAGTCTGGCGCTTCGTCAGCCGTTTTCCCATCTTCCATTCAGTGGTGGACTGGGCTGGCGGCGCCAAACCCACCTTTCGCTTCTGGCACGCCAGCACCCGCTGCGCACAAGACTGTACCCGCCCCCTTACCTTTGCTTTACCTCCGGTTTCCTAGAGAAAGTAACTCGCCTGGAAAACTTACGTGATTCGATTATAATCCTCACCCTTTCACGTTGTTGGGTACCTCTGAGCAAGTAATATACGACCCCCCCCCCAATCTCCCACTCTGATGGTTGCTCAGCCAGGTCACACACTGATTGCACTCTTTGCCAAGCGGCTTGGAGGGAGCATTGTGGAGAATTCTCTGTGCAAATCTTGAAGTACTATGCAAAACGTGAAGTACCGTAGAGGAGATAAGGACGCTTGTCTAGGCCCAAATGTGAAAGGAACTCAGGGGTCGACAAACGGTTCAACGGCGGTCGTTTTCGTGGGATTACATTTCTGTATTGCACGGAGAGTCCTAAAAATGTTCCATCCAATTTCATAATCGCTCACGTTTCCCACGCGGTGGTCATAGTACAGACACTAACAAACATTACTGGATTTGTTCTCACAGGTAAACTCGTTCCTTGTCCTTTCCAGGTCACATTCATTGCGATTCCTCTTGTTGGATTCATAACTAAGTGGTACGGAGCCTACTACGACGTAAGTTTACAAATAAGTTTTTTTTCCACCCTGAAAACAAGCTTTGGCAAGAAGCGGCTTAAACTGTTGTTAGGTTAGCAAGAAAGTTCATCGACGAAATCCGGAATGAAGAACTGGCGAGTGTACAACCTTTAGCTAGTTCTCGACTGCGGTTTCTCTTGATTTCAACAGTAATAGAGTAGCATACGTTCTTCATTCAGCTCCTGCTCGAAATTAGTAAAAGGCATAAGGCACGATAATTTGGTACTTGGTCTGAAATGATAGCAGGAGTGCTATATAGTGGGGAAAATGGCGAAAAAGCGAAGTGAAACGGTCAGAAACTGCAAGAAAAAGCCTCTGTTCTACACGGCTTGGAAAGCAGTTTTGGACGAATTCACCGTTGGCGTCATGCCAGTAAGCGCAACGGTAGATATGCTGCATGTTGCACTCGTAAATCCGTGCAATGCGCGTGTAAGTCTATATCAGCAGGCCCGTTGTATTCTGTATTCTTCGTCAGTAATTTCAATAACGGAATCCTCATGAAGTGGGGTGAGAAGGAGGTAAAAGTGGAACAAAGGGATGGATACTTTCCTAAATGAGGAGATTCCCACCTATTCAGAGAAAATCTGAGCAGAGAGGAGAAGACATCTCGATACCACTTACTAGGGAGGTCGTTCAGGACGTGGAGCGCTTTTTGAAAACGGTTTTTTGCATGATGTGGGGTCACGTGCATGGAGTACCAAACTGGTGTTCATTTTTCCTGAACGCCTCTGGGAATGCCAAAAATGGAGTGAAAAAGAAGTCCATGGAAACCGACTGTTTTTGAGCCTGAATGGGCTCTAAATCACTCGCAACTTCGGCCAGTTGCTGCCTATAAAGGTTGTACTGGTATCGATGAGAAAAGTAGTCGCCAATGGGGTCTTACTTGTGGCACGTAGTTAAGAGTCGACGGCTAGTTGGAATGGGCTCTTAAGCAATCGAAGTGGTAGCTGTGCCAACGATCGGATGGCCTAGTGGATAGCGTGGAGGATTCTCAAGCAGACAGGTGGGGATGGGGGATGGTTCGACTCCCCTCGGCTTGCACGTTTTTGCATTTTTTATTTTTTCCGTTGCTGTCGCTTCCATATACGTCTGTTAATGAATTTTACTCGGATATCTGCCATTTATAGGCACATCCTAAGTAGTTATACGCCGTAGTCGGTGCTATTCAGCAATTTCGATTTCACATACCATTAAGCAAGAATTTGTCTGAAAGTTGAGCTTTATATTGCCCTGATCATGGATGGCATTTACTTTCAGCTCTAGTGCCATTTATCTCCAATTTGGAGCCACGTCTTTCTCCCTTTGGAGTCGCTATGTACATTCGTTTGAGAGACTTGCAGGGCTGACGTCAGATTGGGTTGGCGTCAAGAATAAGTGTCAGAATCGTGATCAGGACCATCGATTACCCCTATAGGCAAACTTTCAGCCAAAAATTTTTTTGACTTTTTTGAGTCTGTGCATTGGGTTATGCTCAAGAGTCACTTTGTTGAAGTCGTACTTTTGCTGGTTATCGAAACCCTCATTCAGTGGTACGGAAACAAAAAACTAGCAACAACCATAAACGCCATCGAAAAAAAGAACAAAATAGTCATCATTCCTCCAGGTGCATTTGATGAAGAAATCGGATGAGTCTCTCCTCTTGGTAGGGGAGGACGACATCTTCGTTGAGCGAGCCGTCGCGGGGGTCGACATGTCCAGGATGGTTTTCACTTGTTCTGCGGCCACCCATGCCCATGCCAAGTATGAATGGACCTTATGAGCACCAAATCCGCGATACGGCTGCCCGGCGGCCCACCACGTCATCGCTACGTCATCGCAGCTCCAAAGTTGTGGGTCTCCGGTCATCACTGTCGACCATTGGTCGGTCTATCACGAGTCAAAAAAAGTCAAAAAAAATTTTTGGCTGAAAGTTTGCCTATAGGGGTAATCGATGGTCCTGATCACGATTCTGACACTTATTCTTGACGTCAACCCAATCTGGCGTCAGAATGGCCCTGCAAGTCCCTCAAACGAATGTACATAGCGACTCCAGTGGGAGAAAGACGTGGCTCCAAATTGGAGATAAATGGCACTAGAGCTGAAAGTAAATGCCATTCGTGATCAGGGCACCGAATAACATATAACGTTCAACTTTCAGACAAGTTCTTGCTTAATGGTATGTGAAACCGAAATTGGATACACTGACTCGGGTTGTATAACTATAATATAGATTGTGCGCCTCAAAACAGGAGATATCCGAGGTGTAAAATTCATTAACAGACGTATATGGAAGCGACAACAACGGAAATAAAAAAATGCAAAAACGTTCAAGCCGAGGAGGAGTCGAACCATCATCCCCATCCCCACTGTGCTACGCTTGAAAATTCCTCCACGCTACCACTAGGCCATAAGATCGTTCGCGCAGCTACCACTTCGATTGCTCAAAAGCCCATTCCAACTAGCCGTCGACTCTTAATTAATCGTGCCACAAGTAAGACCCCATTGGCGACTCTCATCGATACCAGTACAACCCTTAATAAGGACCTGTAGGCAGCAGCTGGCCGAAGTTGCGAGTGATTTAGAGCCCATTCAGGCTCAAAAACAGTCGGTTTCCATGGACTTCTTTTTCACTCCATTTTTGGCATTCCCAGAGGCGTTCAGGAAAAATGAAGAACAGTTTGGTACTCCATGCATCGCGACCTAAATTATGCGAAGAAACCGTTTCGAACAAAGCACTCCCGTCGTAACCTGAACGACCTTCCCTAGTCAGACATTTGAACATTGTGTCAGAGTTGCTCTCTGATGCCGTCCACTCCACCAACAGATGGTGTTGACCACTATTATGAACTCCGGTTTTTGAATGCCAATCAGTCTATATTATTCATTAAAAGCTCAGGCCGTTCTTTTGAGATCCAGTCTATGCTTCCAAGTCGTCTATGATGTTCTGATGGAAATTCTGCCCGTAGAACTTCTCAATTTGCATACAGCTGTTTTTGTTGTACTATTTCAGTTATCAACAGAAAAAGTTCCAATCGAGATCGCTCTAGTGCCATTTCGTATGGCACTAGAGACCGTCGGGTAGGATATATATAATATAATATACTATAGTATATATATACCATTTTCACTTTAAATTCGCCCTTTTTCAAACCAAATTCGTCCTTTTTCAAACCAAATTCGTCCTTTTTCAAACCAAATTCGTCCTTTTTCAAACCAAATTCGTCCTTTTTCAAACCAAATTCACCCTCACTCTTCATCAAGAACCACACTTATTAGGGCGGGCAACTCATCAACCAGATCACGCCAGACATCACTGCGAGCCCCGTCCCGACGGCCCACTTGTCAGCGCGGACATAGATTCTCAAATCTTGTTTCATAACTTCTGCTTTTGCTGTTTCCCACAAACCCTTTGACTGGAAACCACCGTGCATTCACACATGGCCGACTCCGCCCATTCTCTAAAGGGTTTGGCACTCTAGGCTGACCACGCCCACTGGCTTTTCGCGGAATTTCGATGTTTTTTCAAAATTTTTGCAATTTTAGGGTTGCTGCGTGAAGCCCCGCCCTTTGTGAGATGCTCCGCCCACTTTGAATAAGCCCCGCCCACTTTTCAAAATGGTGCAGATCGGCAGTATAGAGACTTGGCTTGCATGTTAGGGTCTCGTACGTCACTCGGAACAAGAAAATCCGGCAAAGTTTATTCCGAATGATCAGCAATACACTAACATGCAAGCCAAGTCTCTATACTGCCGATCTGCACCATTTTTGAAAAGTGGGCGGGGCTTATTCAAAGTGGGCGGAGCATCTCACAAAGGGCGGGGCTTCACGCAGCAACCCTAAATTGCAAAAATTTTGAAAAAACATCGAAATTCCGCGAAAAGCCAGTGGGCGTGGCCATCGGGGCGGGGCTCGCAGTGGTGTCTGGCGATCTGGTTGATGAGTTGCCCGCCCTAATGAGTGTGGTTCTTGATGAAAAGTGAGGGAGATGGTGAAGGAGAAGTTGGAAAAGTAGATTTGGTTTTGAAAAAGGAACGAATTTGTGTTTGAAAAGACGATTGTTTGAAAAGCGAATTTAAAAGTGAAAATGGTATATATATATGAAGAATATAGTTTCTTTTGACAGGCTCTGCAATGTCTCTTTCCCAGGCAAGGGGGCCGTTATAGCGCCTAACCAAGGTGCAGCATGCCCACACAAACCCACACCACAACCGCCTGCCCACAAATAGTCACGCAGTCACATAGACCCTGATATTCTTATTACATCATTTACGGAACACACATGACATGAAGTGGCTGCAGTACTGCTTGGATACATGAATGCACGCATGGAGCCGTATGTACCAGAGCAGCTGTTGGCAAGATGCCAACGAAAAACTCGTCCAAAAATGGCTGTCTGCCAGCCGTATACTCGTCCAACATCGCGCTGACCAAAGTCATTTCCGCAGCTCTTCCACCGTTGCATTTCACTTTTACGTCATTTTCCCCGCTATATAGATATTTAGCACCATCTTAGACCAAGTACCAAATTATCGTGCCTTATACCTTCAGTCTATGTTCTTGCCTGCACATCAGTTTGTTTTTAACTGGCAGTACACACGAGTAAAGCCTCCAAATGTAAGCTCAAGGGTTTGGAATATCATACGAAAATTCTTATTAAACAACGAGAAGCTTTTTCGTAGGCTGGAATGGAGCTCGAATTGTAGAAAAACTTATTGAAAAAACCTAACATAGAAAAAGGTGGAATGCTGTGCGGTTTTTCCAGAAATTGTCTGAAAAAACGCAGACGACTATCGCAGATGCCAACCAGGTAGCAGATGAAGTTCTATCAACCATGCGTACCGTCAGGTTAGCTGAAGAATTTGTTTCCTATTTTATTGAAAGGTCTTATACCATAGATATCTCCTTATTAAGATAGTCTTTATTTGCAAAGATTGTCTTGCAGGTCTTTCGCATGTGAACGGCGAGAAGCGGATCGATTCGAAGGGAAACTTAATGATACGCTGAAGATGAACAGAAAAAAGTAAGTTTCCTGTAACACAACGTTTTTTGTGTCAGACCCATCAGAGCAAAAAGTGCGCCGCTCATCAGTCACGTTCTTGAAAGCTTTTTCTTGAAACTTCACTTATAAGGACTACTCGCTGCTTTAGTCACCAGGGATCTTAATTTAAGTGTAAATGGTATTGAATGTTAGCGCCGAAGGCTTAAAGTCATGTTCCTCAATAAACTAAGGCTTTCTCATAACCGTGCACGATGGTCAAGCAGGCAACGTCAGAGGCTATGCTGCTTTTAAAAGTTGAAAAACAGCAAGCAAAACGCAGGGCGCTCAGGTTTTAGGCCCATTGGCGCCCGATAGGCCCATGCCGGCCTCCAGTGACCGTGTCGTTGTGAGACTGCCATTGCGCTCTCTCGCCCGTCGTTTTCTGGCCTCTCTCGTCTCTTATCAGTGTATCGCCGCCTTTCGCAATTCACAATTGATCTTGACCACCTTACGCTCGTCCGGTGATCATGATCAATTGCAATAAAGAGGGTCTTATTCCGGGCGCTTTTTCGTGCTTCCTTCTCTTCAATAAGTCAACAAACACACGGCAATTCTATTTTTGAACTGTATTACCTATGAACTGTGGTCGCGGGAATTGCCTTTAAGTTGGCGTCCTAATTATAAATTCTACGGGCATTGTTGGCTCAAAGGGGGGGGGGGACTCATTCCGTTTCTGTTAGTCGTTCCTCTCACTGGTCTCTGATGAGACCTTTGGACTTTTATCAAGTGTAGAAGAAGCTTCTGCCTTTGCATAGCCTTCAAGACCAATTGTACACTCTTTTCCTATCACAAGAATGCTGAGTTGTGGGCAAAAGTCGTGCCCCAGGCGGGAGTCGAACCCGCACCTCACGCTTTCCGGGCGAGTGCGCTATCCGTTACGCCACCAGGGCCGCTTTTACCCTCTCAGCTTAACGGCTTATGCCGTAGCCTTACAGCACTCACACGTTTAACTTGGTGACTGGCCTGGGGCACGACTTTTGCCCATAACTCAGCATTCTTGTGATAACTTTCGTAACGCGTACTGCGGCGTAAAACAGCAGTTATTTAACAAAACGACTTCTTTTCCGTGCATCCTGATGCTTGTCATGTGAGGTGAATTGAAAGTTGTGGATTGTGAATCCCTTCACATAAGCGCGCAGACTTGGCGAATCATATGTAGTATTCAAATCATTCACCTGCTGAATGCTCTGTAGCAAAGTCAACTCATATTTTTACAGCTTTCGATCCATGGTTGCCTAAAAAGCAGTGGGTACCATAATGGCTTATAGGGCAAGTGTCCCAATAGAGATGGGTACTTGGTGCTCAAGCAAGCCGTGTAGGATGTCTTTTGAGGCGGGTGCGTTTTCGGAGTGACTTCACAGAGTCCCATTGATCCGCGGCTTCACCCACAAACTTTTATTGTTCGCAGCGAGGGTATTATTATGAAAGGTAGTACGTAACTCAACGCCACGAAAAGTCCCCCGAATTGCCTCCTGATCCCCCCCCCCATGGGATCCGGGCTTGTACATGCATAGGACGAGGAGAGGCCGTTCTTGAAGTAGCTTTCCCTTGTTGGTATCTGGTATGACCACGTCAGATCTTTTTCCTCATCGCGTCACTGCAACCGCTGGGAATGGAAAGGACTAGTAGCCACAACCGACTACGAGGAAGACGTGAGAAATAAGCTTTGTTCGCAGTATGGCGCAGAGCGTGGGGCATCCTGTCCGTCCCAGTAGTGTGGCGTCATTATCACGCCCGTTTGAGCCACAGAAGTGATACATATTCTCGGCGCAGTTTGTCGACGTGGGGACTTTCATAGATGTGTCGACCCATCTAGGTAGCCTTTTCTCGAGTTGACACGTTTTAGGATGGTGGCTAGACGATCTTACTCCAGCTTCACAGGCGTTCACAAGTTTTACCATGGTGAGATTCGTAAACCGGAACTAGGGAAGCAATGTTAGTACAAAATGCCCCCCCCCCGTCGCTAAACAGCGCCCATGCTCTCTGCATGTTGAGACTACCTTGTCCTAACATAGGTTTGCACATGAGACACACGCGGCATGTGGCTTTAAAGAGTGCAGGCGTTAATTATCAAACTGTACACTGCTTTTCATGACTTTCTGTGAGCATAAGCATATCTGCAGGGCCATCGCTTACATGGGTTACACCTGGAATAACGAGTTCTGCGACAATGCTATTCTCGTAGCGGTACTCTTCTACGGGGGACACTTAGTCATGTCAGGTACTTTTTTGACGTTCTTCGCATATACATGCAGTTTCCTTCCCGCGCGTGGTCTCTTCGCTGACTTTTGTCCGTTCAGACATGATGACTACTGATCAACTGATTACCTTTCTCCTCTATCAAATGCAGCTCGGCGAGAACCTTTATGTGAGTTGAATCGAATAGTTTGTGGATAAGCTCAGGTTGCTCCATCTTATTGTAAGAACTAATAGATCGTGAAGGAGGTTGTTAGCTGCTAGAGTTCCCAATCTAAAAGTTCAAAGGGCGCATATCTCGGCTCAAATAAACTCAACACATTGGCGACAAGGCGCCTTTTCGCGTGTCTGCCGCGTGGGACAAAGCAGTTTTTCCCTATTTTCGAAGAATGCGCATAAATGCTAGGGCGTTTATACGCCAAAAAAATTGAAGAATGGTCAGAATTCATTGCAGAAGCTAGTAAGGCTTCGCTATTCTTGTTTACTTTCAAGATAAACCCTGAAATTTCATGGAATACTCCCGCCTCATTCACGTGGAGCGTGGGAACAAGGTCGCAAAAAAGGAATATTTTCGCGCCAGAGGTGGTAAATTGGATTCGATTCAGATCTGCTATTGTTGAAAGTTACCTTATCACATTAGCTATCTGCATGAGCAGCTTCAGTTCTATATATCCAAGAATTATCTTTTTTTTCCTAGGAAATCACTTTCGTTTGTCTCCTCGGTAAAATACTCTCAATGACACAACTGCACGGTTTACAGCTACTGTATATTCTACAATGCCTTCATGGACAATACGCAGCTGTTGAAAATTCGAAACGTGTTCAAATGGTTTTTACCCATGCCGCATCCCAGCAGTGGGACGCAATGTCCCACGCGGCAAAAAAGGTGCGTCCCAGCAGTGGGACGCAATGTCGCCAACGTGTTAAGATCCATTACTAGTCCAGAGATTTAGAGGCGATGAGGTCGGTGAATACCGTTGCAGCACTGTGTGCATTGTGCTTTCCAGCTGTAACGGTTTCATCCGCATACGTGTAGCTGTGGTGGATCAGGCCAGCTGCTGACCCCATCCATCGGAATTACGGCACCAAAAGCCGTTAGAACATTCTTTCCCTTCTACTAAGAAAAGAGCCACCTCGAAAAACATACCGCTGGCTTGTCAGCCACGATCCCATACATCTAGTTCACTTGGTGTGCAGATACCTTCCTTGAACAGATCGTCCGGTCCGTAGGCTCGGAAATTGTACCACTATCGTGCTTCAAAATTTCGTGAAAGGCAGCAACCCGCTTCTCGAAAGAAGATCATTGTTTCCCTTGCACGCTGCCCTATACCACGCCCATCGCTTCCTATATTAAATGAAAATGAACTGAGGTGGTGAGCCATTTCTATAGCCTCTAAAAATTCCATTTTGCCATAAGAGAGTGAAGTGATGGGGGACAGTGATGGGGGACAGAGCTGATATCGCTATGTTACCAGCAATAGCGGGAGGGGCTCCAAACTTGCACAGACATGCGACGAAGGGAGCACTTGAGGCATATCGGATTTTTTTATTTCTTTTCTTCTTTACTAGCTTTAATTACAACTGTGTCATTAGTATTGAAACATCCACCACCCACCATTTTTTGTTCGCGTGACCTGCCTGTGAAAGCATGGGGAGAGACCGTTAGTGACTCCATTCGGAAAATGGTATGAACATATACGTATGTGTTGAATTACAAGCAGCCACTTCAGCTAGGATCCTTTCCCATGGAATGGCAGACTCCGAGACACTCGACTGCTGGAGACGGGTGTCTGTTGCCAGTACCATAAGTTGGGAGGTTGCGAGAGGGTGCTTGACCTTACCTCACCAGCCTTTCACCAATAGCGTTACGGCTGACAGCGCGGCGCCTCCAGAGACCGTGCCACTGCCTTTAAGGGTTGGGTTATGCATCATCACTGAAGGCAGGAGGCTAGGTTCCGGAAAGGCAACAAATGTGAAATCCTTACTATAGTTATATGCGGAACGCTTAGGTTTGGTCTAAAGTTTACTTTCCAGAACATTGGCTATGTGATGACCGGTTTGATGGAATGCGTAGGGGCGTCAAGAAAGGTGATATTTTTGTTTCGTCACAATGACTAACTGAGTTGGCTTGCCTATTGTTCTCACTTCTTTAGGTTTTCGAGTACATGTATCGTGAACCAGAAATTCCAAATGATGGAGAGATGAAACCACCCCTTAGTGGGCGGATCGAGTTCAAAGAAGTAGAGTTCACCTATCCGTCACGGCCAAACAACAAAGTGTTGAAGGTAACCATTTCAGTTGATGCAGTTCATTTCTGGATTACAAGAAACTTCTTTTCCAGGGTTTGGATTTGGTTGTTGAGGCTGGGCGTACAACAGCACTTGTTGGGCCTAGCGGCGGTGGAAAATCGTCGATTGTTCGCTGATTTCAGCACTTTTACGAGCCAACCAGTGGCACCATCACGGATTGATGGCGTCAATATAAAAGATATTTCCCATAGTTTCTACCATCAGAAGGTCAGTTTCTGCTCTCTTGTATGTTCGCCATGCAGTGATTAATTGTAACATGAATGCTGCGCAGCCACGTCTTTTGCAACATTTGAGCTATCTTTACGTCTCAGTTCAAAAGCATATGGCACGATATTTCGGTACGCGGTCTAAAATGTTAACAGGGTGCTGTATAGGGGGAAAATGGCGGAAGAACGAAGGTAAACGGTCAAACCGCCGAAGAGAAGCCTTCGTTCTTAATGACTTGAAAAGCTGTTCCGGACAAGTTTCCAGTAAGCATCTTGCCAATAACCACTACGGCATATACGGCTTTATCGGTGTGTCACTTCATATAGTTCCATTGCCCAGCAACGCGGCCGTTTCATGTTACCTCTTACTTTATCACAAGAATGCTGACTGCAAAAGTCGAACCTCAGGCGGGAGTCAAACCCGCACCTCACGCTTTTCGGGCGAGTGCAATATCCGTTACGCGTAACGGAAGGCGTGAGGTGCGGGTTTGACTCACGCGCTGGGGTACGACATTTTCGCCCTAACTCAGATTCTTGGGTGATAACTTTCGCGGTCTGCCGAATGCGGCTTAAAAACAGCTAAGTCATCATATAAAACAACCGTCGCTTCATATTTTACTTGGGAAGCAGCACGAGCATCAGAAACGCGCGTACATTTGTGGGCGGGCCGGCACGGTGGGTGTTCCGGTCAGTGTGCGACTTGATGGGGCGTTGTGACGGCAATTTTTTCCTTAGAGAAGGCGCTACTCTGCTCAGGGACGCGGAATTTCGTCTGTCAACGGGCATTTAATCCCACTCGCGTTTTGAGGAGTTATTGCCAACTGCCTTTAAGTTACTTATGAGGAACTTTTTCAGATTGCTCTCGTTGCTCAAGAGCCAATCCTCTATAACGGTTCAGTACGATACAACATACTGTACGGTTGCGAGTGGGCAACGGAGGAGGACATGCTCCGGGCGTCTAAGACGGCTAACGTTCATAATTTTGTAACTGAACTCGGAGAAGGCTACGATACTAATTGTGGAGAAAAAGGAGTACAAATGTCAGGTAAGAGTTTCGACTGGTTTCTCAAAGAATCGCAGTCACTTTCTATTCGCGTATCCCCGATCCAAGAATGATGCAGGGGTGTACACCGGTAACCGTCGTCATCGGCCCCGCCGTTGATTAGGGCGGTCGTCAACGGGCCGCAGCGCGTGCCAGGAACTATTTGCTTTTCCAGGCTAATTTAGTCATTTTTTCCACCTTGTGAAGATAAGGAGCTGCTAATCTGGGAAAAAGTAGCCAAAACAGTGAAAAAATTTGGGAAAAATGACTAAATTAGCCTGGAAAAAGCAAATAGTTCCTGGCACGCGCTGCGGCCCGTTGACGACCGCCCTAATCAACTGTTTGGATGACGAGGGTACATCGATGGTGGGTTATATTAGGTCATCCCATTCAAAAGTGCCGTGACATATAGAGGAATGGCAGAAAAGCAAAGGGGATAGGAAGCGGGCTACTATACCATTTGGAGGCTAGTACCTTTAGCTATGTATCTGTGAAATTTGGCGAACCTACCCACAGAGGAGCTCTCGAGAAATTGAAAAGAAGCCCGAGTGGTGAAAATCGGCGCCGGTTTTCAAATCAATGGTGCAGTGATCATAACAGGAAAGGTGCCCCTGCCCTCAATTTCGATCGGCACCACCAGTAGTTGTGTATAATGGTGTTCTTGAAGTACAAGGTAAAAGTTTGTTCAGGAGCCCGAAGAAGGAAAAGAGGGAAAAAAATTTGTTGTTCTGGATGGTTCCATAATATTGATCCTGTACAAGGAAAAAGGGTGGATGAAGTCAGGCACTGAATATCTGATCACAGAGCCTGGACCTTTGTCGAGTTTCCCCGCGAGACTGACATCCTGCTGCAATTACTGTACTTGTTATGACCGATAAACTGTGTCAAGGTACGTGGGTGTGGGGACGCCACGGGAACCTAATTTTCATAAAAGCACGAATGCAGTACCGATTCTATAATCTGGCAGTAATGCTCTCAGCATGAGATGTCATTCACGACTGTGAAAATGCACGCCGGCCCCTAGATGAAATATGGGTGGTCTTGGACCTCGAGCCAAAACTCACAATCGTCAATTTTGTATGAATGCAGATGAGAAGCCGCCCGAGTTCTACCATGAGGAGTTACGTGGGCGCAAGTGGATGATCGTCATAGCGAAGGACTCCCACCTTGGGGCTTTCAGGCGGCTCTATACAGAAAATAAAATCGTAGATGTCGGTGTATATTGCCTGCTCCTCGGCATTCAGATCGACAAATGGATGATACCACACAACTACAAGAAGGCCACCGTTGCTCGTCATAGTGCCAGACCACTAGTAACAGTATTATAGTGCAGTGGTAGGACACAGTCAATGCTGAGGCCTGGTTCAGTCGCCCCATTCGCCGGACCCAAAGCCGAGCGATTCCAATTGTTCTTGTCAGTCGAGAGTACTCTCCGACGGCAAGCGCTACAATTTTTTGTCATTCGCCGAAATTGGCATCACAAGCAATTTACTCGCACTTGTTGAAAAATCGAAGGTACCAGAGGTCCAAAGCACTGGGAGCGGGTCATTGGTGAAGGGAGATTCACTTAACTCGAAGCCAAAATATTACTTTCTTATCTATTCTTCTCTTTGCTTTTTATTCGAATAAAACCGACGGCACTTTTGAATGGGATGACCTAATAGAAGGTGATAGCAAGTAGTAGAGGGTGGTAAACGTCATTGAAGCAATGAAGCAACTAGTAGAGTGTGAAAAAAATGAGATAGAGGTGAATTACCATCGAACGCCTTAAAACGTCATTCATCGCTTTGTTACTGCTTTTATACTGGAAAATAACAAAGGGTGCTGAAACAGAGGACGTAGGCTCTGTTACGGGGGGTCTAACTGCAGTTTTCGCAACATCAAAATTTGCCGGACGAGGGGGGGGTGAGGCTGATATAAGCCAATATGCCAGATATCCTTACACCAGTTGGATCGCCCGGCTGACGCCGAGCTCTCCTCCTTCTCTTCAGCCAGGCTTCGCCGGACTGGGTTGGCTTCGCCAAGCGCACATCATAATAGAAAAGAAATTCCACAACTAAGCCGCTAAAATTACGCGGTACTGACTGAGTAGTAGATGAGCAAATTCTTTTTCTATTACCTGCATCCCAGCGTCCACAAGAGCGCTTAACTTTCCATTACCTTGCGATTCACTCGCCGAAGCCCTATAAATGGCTGCAGATGCCATTATTCGAGGTACATTAGTTGTGTATTCGTCAGACTACCTTATTATTCGTTGTCATCATTGATCAAAAGTTGAAAAGTAAAAAAAATGACATTATTCACATTTTTGATTTTCCAAAATTCCCGTTTCACGCGAGATACATAATCCCCCCCCCCCCGCTCGCGACTTCTTCACGTGAGTATATTGTATGGAGTGTAAAGGCTGATCGGACGAACGACAACGGTGATGTTCCTTATCAGCCCCTATCATCAGTTATTAGTTTCTGTCACCCACCGTCGACGTCCCCACCTCGCCCGCTGCATCACTTACTGGAGTTAAGGCCTAGCAGATGCTGTGTGCCGCGCTGTGATGGTCACCTTCCCATTCTAACTTCCCTTATCAGATCTTATCAGCTGCTAGCAGTCCTTGTCACGCACCAATAATGTTCTAGTCGCATACCCTGCATCATATCTTGGAATCAACGTGACGCTGCTGTCCCGCGTTATGGACTCGGTGGCCCTCTCACTCTGACGCTTCTTATCGGATCTTCTCAGCTAGTATCACTCCCTGTCACCCATCAGTGAATGTTCCCGTCACAGCCTCCATATCATGCCTTTAAACTAACGTCGTACTGTCGCT